CGGTAGGGGGCGGGAGGTATAGAGAGTGATCGGTAGGGGGCGGGGAGTATAATACAGAGAGATGTGGATCGGGATGACGGAGGATGATGGTGGGGATCGGCATGACGGAGGATGATGGTGGGGATCGTACACTGGGATCGGGATGACGGAGGATGATGGTGGGGGTCATACGCTGGGATCTGGGGGTGTGTTGGGTTCACAGTATCTTCTCAGGGTGCACCTCAATGTGCTGCCGGATTGCGTGTAGCGTGTAACGTGTTGGGTATGGAGAGCAGTGGGTGACCAGAGGGCGCTCCCCTCCCCAATACTTAAAAGGTAATTTGCGTGACCCGCACATATATACAGACCCGCCCACATGACCAGCAACCAATGGGTGTAAGTGGGCAGCGCTAAGGGGAGGGGCAAAAGGAGGCGGCCAGCATTCCATTGATAATAAAAGGGAGACATCATCCAATAGACATGTGAAGAAGAATCACCAGCAAACTCATTAATGGGGTCGTATCCGTGGTAACCGTCGTGGATGCAGAACTCAGAATAAGGAGCTCCGACAGGCTCATTAATATAATCGCATACGCAAGGGGAGGGGCTAGTGGGGAACATCAAGAGCAGGCTCATGTCTGAGTGCTTGATTGAGGGGAGAGTAGAGGTTGGGGGGAATCGTCTCAGGAAAGTGTTAATTATTGGATTAGATAACACTGATCCAGCATATTTTCCTGTCCATATTCCGCATGGGCGGAAACCACAAGTACATGGGAGGGGTCTCAACGTTAAGGCCACTCCCTCAGTGATGTCACGGCTCTTCCTCTTCAGGCCACAAGCCCTCTAAAAATACATAAGTGGGTATGGCACAGATGGAACGGGCCGCGTCTCCTGGGCTGAAGCGGTTTGTGCTCCTCCCCCTTCTTACCATGGCTACTCCAACAGCGCATGGTGGGCGGGGCAATCCAGACCAGGAGGGTGTGTCCCATCTTAAAAGGCACGACATCCCGACAGCAAAGTGGATGCGTCTGACCCAGGGTGGGGCTTTTCCCAGCTCTCAGAAGTTACAGCAGAGTTTCAATTGATTTCCACAGAGCGTATTACCTCCCCTTCTTATAGTCCCAGCGACCCAACAGTGACGAGTGGGCGGAGCTTGCCCGGTAAGGGGCGTGGTCTACCCACTGGGGAAGATTCACCAGGAGCAGTGGAGGAGGGGGCTGGCAAATTTGAGGGGGTACGCCGGGCGGATTTCCTTACATCCCTGGGAGGTCTGAGCAGGCCGGAGCGGGTCGGCGTTTTATACCAAGGTATATCGCTACTGTAGAGGAAGAGAGAGAGAGAGGCGTGTGAGGGGAAACGCTGACAACCTGGAGCAAAGCATATTGAGGGTTGTCACAAGGCGGGACAATGCAAGACCCGACACAATCCAAGATGGCGGACACTCACCCTGTGACCTGAGGTCTCCCGACTCCCTCAGATTCGTCTGTGACCCTGAAAAGAAGAACAATAGATTCACGTCACCACAACAATACAACATGAAATGACCTCAGCCTGAGTCTATCGAGGGGTTCCTGGCTCTCTGGGGCCCAACGTCAATTCATGGGGCCCAATGTCAATTCATGGGGCCCCACAGCACATTTCTAATGGGGAATCATATTGCAGCACTGATCTGAAGATACCGAGGCTGAGGCATGGGGAGAGGGTCAGTATACTCTCAGGGTAGGGGGGCCCAAAATGTCACCTATCAAGCTGCTCCCATCAGACCAAGGCACCCCAAATATAGGAGGGGAGGGGGACCTATGAAGATCCAGATGTGTCATATGTCACAACGGTGCCACATCAAGGGTCAGAGTCCAGAAGGGTATTTTATTCAATGATCCATTAAAATTAATTTTGGGGGGTTAGAGGGGAGGAGCAGAGGGATAGAGGGAAGGAGCAGAGGGTTAGAGGAGCAGAGGGTTAGAGGGGAGGAGCAGAGGGATAGAGGGGAGGAGCAGAGGGTTAGAGGAGCAGAGGGTTAGAGGAGCAGAGGGTTAGAGGGGAGGAGCAGAGGGTTAGAGGAGCAGAGGGGAGGAGCAGAGGGTTAGAGGGGAGGAGCAGAGGGTTAGAGGAGCAGAGGGTTAGAGGAGAGGAGCAGAGGGTTAGAGGGGAGGAGCAGAGGGGAGGAGCAGAGGGTTAGAGGAGAGGAGCAGAGGGTTAGAGGGGAGGAGCAGAGGAGAGGAGCAGAGGATTAGAGGGGAGGAGCAGAGGGATAGAGGGGAGGAGCAGAGGGTTAGAGGAGAGGAGCAGAGGGGAGGAGCAGAGGGTTAGAGGGGAGGAGCAGAGGAGAGGAGCAGAGGGG